TTTTGCTTAGCTGTTTTAAGGAGAAGAACATTAATTATTCATTATACTTGTAGGTTGCATTGCATATATATTTAGACAGAAGTTACAAGTAGTTGAAATGATTGCAATCAAGTCTATTCATATCAAAAACATAATATGTTAACTCATAAATATTACGGCTAGACAATTTGCGTGTTCAAGCGTGTAGGGAAAATAATATTAGGAGTGAATATAGGTTTACCTTTAAAATTGCAGGATATTAAAAAATAAACAACACCACTATCGAACCTTACCTTTCTATCTTTTTGAAGTTGTTTGTTTAATGCTCTTATCCATAACTTCACAATGTTCGGAGTGCGATCTTTGCCTTCAGCATGAAGATAAAACCAAGCTAGTGTTGAATTCACCCATTCGCATGGTTCGATTGTCACAGCTCTATTATCCTTCGTAAACGTTCTACTCTTTCGGCCGGACTGATCATCTTCGTCGCTATCTTTACTCTTAAAAGGCCTTCGAAGAAACAGAACCACTAAGAACAGAAGTAAGAGATGAAGAAGACCAACGTATACCTTAACAGGCAAGGACAAGTCCTGTACGACCATCACCGCCATCACAAAAAAAGTTTAAATTTAGACAGTTATAAATACATGTATTTTTGACAGTGAAGATCAAGACAGTCGTGAAGGTAATCCAACACGCAGCTACCCATGGAAATCGAGACAGCTAATTCGACTAATCCTGTCAAATAGCCACGGAAACTAAAGACGCCATGAAAATACTTTCGAGAGCGAAGGTCGCGTCGCGAAGGTATCTGTCTGCTGGCTTGGCGGGAAGGTGAATGGCGGAAACAACTGACGAACTCTGTTTCACGTGCAGTCTGCCACGAGATATTTTGTAATTTAAATCCTTTGCAGTCTTTTGTTCATGCACTGTTTGATTCAAATGCTAATGTGCCATGATCTTTCATGAATATTCCAGAAAATTATCCTGAAACACAGACGGTCGACCTCCAGAAGGTCAATTTTAACTGTCCTAATCGCTCTTTACAGCTCCACACTT